TTCAAAAAGAAAAAAAATTAAGTTTGTTTTTGAAAAATATTTTCAACTTTCAATTTTTATTTTTTCATCCCGATCCTCGATCACCCACCCCTCTCTCCGGTCACCCCCCCCCCCAACCCCCACCCCCAAAAAAAAATTGAGTTTATTTTTAAAAAATATTTACAAATTCAAAATTTCATTTTTTCACCCTACCCTCGACCCCCACCCACCCACCCCTAACACCCCCCCCCCCCAAAAAAAAATAAATTTAAATTTGTTTTTAAAAAATATTCTCAACTGCAAAATTTCATTTTTTCACCCTACCCTCGACCCCCACCCACCCCCTACCAGCCCCCCTCCCCCAAAAAAAAATAAAAATTTCAAGTTTGTTTTTAAAAAATATTTTCAATTTCAAAATTTCATTTTTTCACCCCTACCCTCGACCCCCACCCACTCACCCCCCTACCAGCCCCCCCCCCCCCAAAAAAAATAAAATTTCAAGTTTGTTTTTAAAAAATATTTTTAATTTCAAAATTTCATTTTTTCACCCCTACCCTCGACCCCCACCCACCCACCCCCCTACCAGCCCCCCCCCCCCAAAAAAAAATAAAAATTTCAAGTTTGTTTTTAAAAAATATATTCAATTTCAAAATTTCATTTTTTCATCCCTACCCTCGACCCCCACCCACCCACCCCCCTACCAGCCCCCCCCCCCCAAAAAAAAAAAAAATTTAAGTTTGTTTTTCAAAAATATTTTCAACTTCAAAATTTCAAATTTTCACCCCTACCCTCGACCCCCTTCACCCACCCCCTACCACCCCCCACCCCCCAAAAAAAATTCAAGTATGTTTTTAAAAACTATTTTCAATTTCAAAAATTATTTTCTACTCTAGTAAAAATAAAAGATATTTCTCAAAAATATTTTTCATTCATAAATCAAACACTAAAATTTTTTTCCGGAAAATATTTTCTACTCACCAACCAAACATGAGAAAATAAGTCAAAAATCAACTTGTTTTCCAGGAAAACATTTTCCATGAAAAACATTTTCCTTCATACCAAACACACCCTAAAATGTAACATTTTACTTTCATCCTCTTTTATTTGTATTTATTACTAGTTATGAAATATCCATGCCGTGCACGGGCCTAGTATTTAAAATGGTGATAAATGATATTACAGTATCTCATGAAGCGTAAAATAAATATTTGATAGATGTTATTAATATTGATAAATTTTAAGCGATATTGATTAAATAATTTTAAATTTTTGCTCTAAAATAAATTATAATATATATTTGTATGATAGTAAATAATGCGAATAGACTTATCAAGATGTCCATAATTAAGTATTGTTCTTCATCGACAATTGGTTTTTTACACAAAACAATTATAATAGTTACACAAATATTATTGACATTTTAAATAATAAAGTTATAACTAAAGGATATGAATTTAAAACTAAAGGTCATAGCTAAAACGAGTTTCACAATTTCAGAAAAATTATACACTAAATAAATTTAAATAGAATTAATGAAATAATTATTTAAATTTTATTCTAAAAATACTTTAAAGCAAAAGACGTATCTGCTTGACCCACAACTCTCAGAGAAAATATTATATATATTATCATTTAAACGATAAACATAGAAAATAAAAGGGCAAGTGTGTATGTAGTCAAGTCAAGTCAAGTCTACTACTCGTATATAGTAGTTTTGCCATTCTCTTTGGTTAACTTTGAATTTTGAGGAATACAGCCAAATAAGAAACCAAAAGCCTTGGAATATTCCGATAAAAGTGCTATTTTCTGCAATTTTACATTTTTTCCAAGTGTGAACTTATTGAGATTAGTGAGAAGATACTCTTTAAAACTCGATTTGTTTAATTGTTCTATCACGTACAAGTAGTTCATTCTACTAAAATTTCTAAAATTATTTGTTTGTTACTAGGACCTAATACTTTGTTTAATCCTTATTGTCTCAAGTCAATTCCATTGATACTCCAAATTCATGTCTTTTTTAATACTTTAATTTGTTCACACGTAGAAATTATCAATTCGAAAATTTTATTTAAGTTCACACGTTTTTAATATTATTTTTTACACAAATTCTATATTTAATTCTAAAAATATTTATAGAGCAGCCTGTTTTAATTACTGATCTTCTAATAAGTTCCGTCCAAAGATACTTTTATTAGGTTTGGTACTTAAATTAAAGCCTTCATTAATTTGATTTTACATTGCGTAAGACTTATTAAAAAAAGTCTACTATCCGATTATTTTTTTCAATTGGCAGGATTTGAACTCAGGAAATCTAAATAAATGTAAACATAATTCTGAAAATGTTATTGAAGAGATACATCTTGGGGGTAAGATACTTCCATAATTAACCCTTACAAGTTGGGTTTTTGATATTTTTTAGAAAAGATAAATGTATTTGGTTGTTGAAATCTATTTTAAAATCATGTTGAACAAAGATATTTTCGTGTTTTGAATTTTTTGGAAAGTTTCCAAATCCTAATCTTATAATATAAACCCAATTGACGCCATTAATTAGAATAAATCTTCGTTATCTTTATGACCAATGTATATCAACTAGAATGGTCATCTCATCACCATATATAGAAGTTAATTATTACTCCTTATTAGTCACTCACTTACATAGTTCAAGTTTGAAAGCTTCTTGATATGACTTGTACTTGCCAAATACATGTGAAAGGTCAATACTTGTGCCAAACATAGGCATAATTCACTCTCAACTTTGATCAGCCAGTAGGATTGGGACAGATATCGATTGACACTTCAGGCCTTATTTGTCCACTGCTTTTAAAAATATCAGAATTAGTGACTGATAAATTTAATTTATAGCAACAAAAATCTTCTCTAATCCTAGAAATGTAATTTAAAAATATTATGTAAAAAAAAGCTCACATTTATTTTCAAGTTTTTTAAACATAGTTAACAGTTAAGATATTGCAAAGAATTTTAATTTAATCTGATATTGACTTATTTTTTTATTAGGATATTCGATCATTCAATCTTACGAGAGCCCTATTAAAATATATATGTATTCTTTAGCGTGTTGGATGCCTAGAGGACATTTGGGAAATGTTTGAGGATTTGACGATCAAACATAGGGGGATTTAATTTATTTTGTAGATAGTATTTCACTTTCAAATAATTAAAAAGTGGTTGTTAAACCACTTCAATCATCTTTATTTATATGGCTAACATTTCATCACCTTATTACATCTCTTATCCTCCTCTTGTCGGTAGACTATAATTGAGCAATCGACATTTTTGTTTTCCTTAATTTATATAGAGTTATGTCTTTGTTTAAAAGATCGTAGTTAACTAATCAAGTACACAGAATATTTAGTTAGGCAAACGCATATCACCGACTCCCTCTTCCTCCTTTTAAAAAGTTTCAACTAAGTAATTCGAGGTAAATTTGTAAAGATATTAGCATTAAACTCATTATACCTTTATAATATTAAGTTTGAAATTATATTTTAATAATAATATTATATGATATGACTGTTAACGTTTTTGTTTCTTTTTTTAATTAATCCCTCTGATGGACGGCGAGGCATTTTCTAACAATATTGTACTCTGCAAAATGCTCATCTATGTGATGTCTTAAACTTTAGTTTATTTTAATCATCATGAGTTTTTCCTTGATTATATGTGGTATACTGGTGTCCTTAGAAAATAAAATTCATCTTAAGTTGGTGATTAAACTATTCCCTCTGTACAATTTTACGATCACTTTAGATTCTTTTTACGTCCAGTAAGAAAAAGAAATGAATATAAAGTATAATTCACTAAGCTATTCTTATTTATTAAATATTTTTGAATTGAACATTTCTAAATTAAAAAAAATCTATTTCTTTTATATTAAGAAAATAGCTAAAAACAATTTGTATCGTTAAGGTGATAATTATTTTAATTTGATATAATTTTTTTGAGCTATAGCAATAGTTAACATATGATAGGGGAAATATTTTTTTTATGTCGGTTATATAGTTAAAAATAATTATTAATTTTCAATTCTTGAATTTCTAAAGTAATTATTATTTTAAACTATATAAAGCGATAATTAAAAAGAGGACGAAGGGAGTAACTTAAGTTCATTTTCTTTCCTAACCATTGTAGTATGATTTAAATTTAAAATACTAAATATAAATATGAATGATTGTTTGAATCACGTGAATGAAAACTGAGGTCAAAAATAGTTTGGGATGTATAGAAAATTTTTAGTACTCGTATCATGGAGTGAGAATGCAATGGAAAAATGTTTTTTTAATTTCTATCAAACTAATTAGGCTTATGTCATTTTACTGGTTGTCAATTGATTAGGCATATGATCAACCTTTCGAATGTTGACAAATTAATGCTTTGTACGTATTGATATGTTTGGAGCACATCTTTTGCGAACTAAATTACTCTAAAATTTGAATTAATATCACGCGATTTCTTCTATGTATGTCTTTTTATTTAAAATTATAATAATTTAGATATGTATTTGTGCACATTTAAAATTAAACGATATCTAAGGCCAAATTAAAATTTATATATTTATGATTTATACCACGTTTTTTTTTTGTGTCAGCATGTCTTTTCTAGTAGTCTTGATACCAAATTTCTGCACGTGCGTATGAAATACGTACCTGGGGAGAGGAAGGGACTGGTAATTTCCAAAAGAAAACACCAAAAACCTCATTTATATTTTCTGTTGTTCCATTAAAAAAAGAAAAGTGAGAGAAAAATCTCAATCTGAGAGAGGCCATTATTTTATTTTTTATTATAGAGAAAAAAATGTTAGATATAGAAAATGAAAAGAAAGAAGTAGTAAATAATCAGTTTTTTCTCCCTCCATTCTTCCAAACTGAAAATAAGAAATAAGAGGGCTTATGGTTTTCTTCTTCAAAAAAAAAATAATGAAAAAGTTTGTTTTTTGACCATTACCATGGTCCATCACCTCCCCTCTCCTTCTTCCTTTCTTCCTCCTCCTATTTCCTATAATCTTTCCTCTTTTATTTAATTTGCCCCTTTTCTTTCCTCCCTATATTAACCATAATCTTGATTCTTGATTATTTGTTTTTTTTTTTCTTTCAAACATCTGAAAATTTTAAACTTCGAGGATTTTAATCATATATCAAAATGGGCAATATATGTTTTTCTAGCTCAAAAGTTAGTGGTTCTAACAGCAACACCACCACCACCAATACCGCCACCGTGAATGGCCACCGTAATCGGCGGAGCTCAGCGAAACCGGTTTCTGCAACAACAAATACATCAAGAAAACAAGAGGGGTCTCATTACAATCGACAGAAAGGTAAGGATATCGGTGGGGTTAAGCAACAAACGAAAAATGTTAAGCATAATACGAGGAGGCAAAGTGGGATTATTCCTTGTGGGAAAAGAACGGATTTTGGGTATGATAAAGATTTTGATAAGAAGTTTACAATTGGGAAGTTGTTGGGTCATGGACAATTTGGATACACATATGTTGCCACAGACAAGTCTAATGGAAATCGCGTGGCTGTCAAGAGAATTGAAAAGAAAAAGGTTCTCTTTTTTCCCCTTTCCCCTTTCCCCATCCCCTGCTATATCAAATTCTTATGGAGTTATGTAGTGCACCAAATTTGGAATCAGGGTTGTGAAAATTTCTGTTCAATCCTAATTATAGGTTCAAGTATCTCTTCTGAATTATTTTTAAATGTCTTGATTGACTTCGGTTGACTCAGAAGAATATCCATAAACTACTGAATTGCTTCGCATGCTTTATCCTTTTTGTTTTTAGTTCATGTCTCTGTTTATTTGGTTCAATCAGTGTATTTGTATAGCTTTTGTGGTTACAAAATACTATCTTCTGCTAGTTTTGAAGTACCAATTTAAGTTGTAGTTAATTTTTAATGGATTGCTAACCGGTGAAGCTGCACTTTTTAAGAGACCATCATCGAGGCGCCCCGGTCTGAACATGACAGGTTGGTTGACAAACCCAAGGGTAAAGCCGGGGGGGGGGGGGAGGGGGCAGCTGGAAAGGATAGTTCCTGAGGTTCTAAAAAATAATAAACAGGAGCGTGGTACATACAAACTTGACGGATGGGATAAGTAAATATCTCGAAAACTATAGGTTTATGGGAGCTGTTTGGTTAATAATGATGGTTGTGGTTCTAAGCATTGACATATAGAGAGAAACACCTAAGCACTGGACCTTAGTTTTCTGTGATTAGTGCTGCTTGTTGTTATTATGTACAGTTAAATGGAAAATGGCTTCCCTGACCTGGTTTAGACTATAGAGAGAGCTGGTTTTTAGTCAATTGGCACTGGAAACTTCTTTGCGCAGACTCTTCACTTTCAATGATGCACCCCTGTTGGATTCTCCAAAAATACACTACTTTTGGAGAATCTAACACGCACCCGTTGACATTTTGAAGAGTCCGAGCAACATAGCTTATCTGTGACTTACTGCACAAGTCTTGGTTATTGATGCACGATGCAACTATTTTGTTCACCATCGACTTTTATGGAGAAAAACTTTTCTTTTGGTGAAAGGTTCCTCCAGCTTTGTCTCGTATAATCTCTGCACACCAGTTAAGATGTGTTCATCCTTCTGGAATGATGGGGTTATTCATGCAAATACAAATACTTGCAGAAGTTTCTCTTTTAGACGCTTGTTAAGTTTTAGTACTATTGCATGATCAATTGCCTTACCTTGAACTTCTTGATGTTCCAGTTTATTACAACTATAGCATAACTCTAGTGAATCGTTGCAGATGGTTGTTCCAATTGCAGTTGAGGATGTAAAACGAGAAGTCAAGATATTGAAGGCCTTTGCCGGTCACGAGAATGTAGTTGATTTCTATAATGCATTTGAGGATGATAACTATGTTTACATAGTAATGGAGTAAGTTTCATTATTAAGAGCTCTGTTTGGATTCGTCAGGTCCTAGTTCTTTGCTTAACAATCGATTATGCTATCTGATGGGAAGTTGATGGATTAGAAATTTGTTTTCCTGTAGGTTATGCGAGGGCGGAGAACTGTTGGACCGCATTTTGGCCAAGTAAGTGGTATAAACCAGGTTTACTTAATCTCGTGATCTGTGGTGCTTGCTCTATAATTTATTTCTTGTTAAGAAGAATACTTATATAATTTATCGATGATTTCCTTTGATCAGAAAGGACAGCCGTTATACCGAGAAAGATGCAGCAATAGTTGTTCGTCAGATGCTAAAAGTTGCGGCTCAGTGTCATTTACATGGCTTGGTGCATCGTGATATGAAACCTGAGGTTTGCAAGAAGTTATGTACTTCCTTTGGTTTATTAATGCTGCTTCATGTTGCTTCTCTTATATACATTTCTTTCTTGTAGAATTTTCTCTTTAAATCTCCAAAGGAGGACTCACCACTAAAGGCCACAGATTTTGGTCTTTCAGACTTCATAAGACCAGGTGATTGGATGTCCACAAATCTACTCAATGACATATTTTAGTTTAAACTCATTTTTCTTATTTGACAAAGATCTTTTTGCTATGGTGTATGAACTTCAATTCTTCATAAATCTGTTAAAGCCGTCAAAGATGTTTTTGGTTCTTCCTCAGATAGCAAAAACTTATAACTGTAAACTAATAAATGCAGGGAAGAAATTCCAAGATATAGTAGGAAGTGCATATTACGTAGCCCCAGAGGTATTAAAGCGTAAATCTGGACCTGAATCAGATGTGTGGAGCATTGGTGTAATTACATTCATTTTGCTTTGTGGTCGTCGACCCTTCTGGGATAAAACAGAGGATGGCATATTCAAGGAGGTGAGCTGCTAATATTTATTTTTATAACTCTGCAGCTGGGCAACATTTTAAATTGTGATTTTTTTCTTGGAAACTTGTGGAAATGCATTATGATCTTTAAGCTCTACTAGGAAATAAACTTTGTATTCTGTCAAAGTGGCATGTTTACCATTATTGACTTTGCATAATACATTTTTAAAAAATGCATAATTCTGTGTCTGATTAGCCAATTTTACATTCGAGATTTCAGAATTTTACTCCAAATATGGTACTGATGATGAATTTCCCGTATAGTTGTGCTTTATTATTCTTAGTTCGTGATTAGCTTAGTCTGCATTCCATAGTCGGTATTAAAATTTCTTGAACCTGAAAGTTTCTTGTTCTCTTTTGAGTTCATCGAAGCTACTGCTATATCTTTGAATAAGGATTGTCTTGGTGTTTATTTAAATAAAATCTTATTCAAATGTGTTATTTTATTCCTTTGAGAAGTGTAACTTGTTCATTGTCATGTTCGGTAAAGACTTTGTGCTTTAATTTTAGCTGATTTAGTATTGTTTCTAACTCCGCTTCTGCTATGCTAAGGTCCTACGAAACAAACCTGATTTTCGTCGCAAGCCATGGCCAACTATAAGCAACAGTGCTAAAGATTTTGTTAAGAAATTATTGGTGAAAGATCCTCGTGCTAGACTTACTGCTGCCCAGGCCCTATGTAAGTAATTGTATTCTGATTTAGTACAATCTTTTTAAGTGATGTTTAGGTTTTACAATTACCAAGCATGATTATCGGAGAAGTAACTCAAGGTCCAAAAGATTCATACACTGAATTTGTCAATTTTGAGTCAGCCACTTCATTAGCAATGTTTGGTGTTGGATGTCCATTTTATTAGTTCTTGCTAAATAGCTTTCATATTTCTGTTAAATTTCATATAATTATATTGAATAATTTTCATATAATTATTTCATTGTTTTCACTTAATTAGATGTTACTGGTATTCTCATCACCTTTGAATTGTTGATGCAATAAATGGTAGTTTTTTCAAACTGATATATACGAACATTTCAGCACATCCATGGGTCCGTGAAGGAGGTGATGCTTCTGAGATTCCACTAGACATTTCTGTCTTGTCCAACATGCGACAGTTTGTCAAATACAGTCGATTAAAACAATTTGCATTACGGGTAACTTCATAGCTTTCTTACTTTCATAGACTTATCTGATGCAAGGTCAAAATAAAAAGTAGAGAACATTAACTTCATGCGATTTCGTTATCCGGCAGGCATTGGCTAGCACACTTGATGAGGAGGAGCTGGCAGATGTCCGGGACCAGTTTTCTGCAATTGATGTGGATAAAAATGGTGTTATTAGCCTTGAAGAAATGAGACAGGTATTTCCCTTATTTCATGGTCTAGTTAGTTTCTTCCTGTACAGTTTCTCTAAGTTTCTGGCTAACATCGCGAGCACTTATATTCCTGTCTTTGCAACAAAGCATTCTGTAATATAATGTTATTTTTGTCAACTATATTCTCTCCTATGACATCCAATTCTAATGCAGGCACTTGCCAAGGATCTCCCCTGGAAGATGAAAGAATCACGGGTTCTTGAGATTCTTCAAGCGGTAAGCTAATATATCTAGGAATGAAGTATATCACTATAATATGGCATGTAAGATTAAGTTATTACTATGAAATACCTTCTTTGGCGTCAAGCTGGAACGTGTTTGCAACCAATTTAGTCCCCACTCCTCTGAAAGGGAATAAGGAAAGAAAAGGACAAACGCACCAAAGAGCCATCCACAAAAAGGAAAAAAGGAATGTGATGTCACATAGTAGTTCTGTAAATTTCCAGCTTATGAGTCCATGTGATAATCTGAGGGTTTACTCAACGATTGTCAATGCTTTTTTTCTACCTATGTATACTGCATTTCCTACAGTTTTTTCTCCTGTAGTTCAAAATCCTGAAGCATTTTGTTCATTGATTTTTCAGATTGATAGTAACACAGACGGGCTTGTTGATTTCCCGGAGTTTGTTGCAGCGACTCTACATGTCCATCAGTTAGAGGAGCATAATTTGTTAAAATGGCAGCAAAGATCGCAAACTGCTTTTGAGAAATTTGACGTTGATAGAGATGGATTCATAACTCCAGAAGAACTTAGAATGGTTAGTATGTCGTATTTTCTTCTTCAAGTGATCAACACTGTTGTGTATATATATATATATATAAATGCTAGCTTTCTAGAAATTTTAACCCTGTCCTGTTCCGCAACTCTGCAAAGATAAAACCAAAAGACAAGTAGAAAAGAAATACTAAGAGTTGAGACTGTGGATTGGTTGGTAGCCCCGAAATTCTAAAAATACTCATATCTGGCTTTTACTTGTATGCAGCATACCGGCTTAAAAGGCTCCATAGACCCATTGCTAGAAGAAGCAGATATCGACAAAGATGGAAAGATAAGCTTGTCAGAATTCCGCAGGCTTCTAAGAACTGCAAGTATAAGTTCACGAATGGTGACTAGTCCTACGGTCAGAGGCTCTCGGAAAATCTAGTCAGAGTGTTTAAGAGATGTGAAAGTTATCCATGAGAAAATTTTGTTGGAAAATCACGTTCATTTACATGTTCTCATGTGCTGCAGAGACATTTGGCCTTGTGTTGCCAGCGGCCCTCCGGCTCCTGCAGAGTTTGCCAGAAAAGCATTTGGCATGAAGTTGCTTTCTCCTAAACAACCAGCAGCAATTAATGTTTGTAATCTGGTCGTTTTAAATGTACATTCTTTGTGAGTTTTTCTGGGGCTCCCTTTGAGTATGTATGTAATGCAACGTCACTATAGATTATATGATCAATGATAAAAATATACATGTATCACCAGGACTTAATGTTGTAGGTCAGTTGGTATCACTTTTTTTATAAGCGTGTCAATGTTTTTCAATCAGCTTGTCATTATGTAAAAAAAATGATCTTGTCAAGAATCAATATCTCAATAAAGATAACTCTGAGGATACCATCATATATAGAAGAACATCAATCGAGATATCAATGTCTAATTTTACTTTTCGATATATTATTTTGACCTATCGATACCTTAGAGTGGATGTGTAATTCTTTGGCCTATAACCAATTAGAAGATGTTGTCAAGTAATAAAAAATCTGGCCCATGCAGGTCTCGAACCTGCGACCTTCGCGTTATTAGCACGACGCTCTAACCAACTGAGCTAATGGGCCATTTGTTCTGAACTACGAAGTTAACAAATATAGCACAAATACAACTCATATCCAGTAAAAAATGACCTTTGGTTTTCCTAAAGCGATCACACGACAACTATTTTCGAAATATCTAATTCAATAAACTATTATTCTGATCAACACTAGTTGTTCTTCGACGCTCGCCCAAAATATATATAAATTATCGAACACTTGAACTTCAAGTAAATCAAAGTTGATCATTATTTTATATTTATATTAATATTAAGTATATGAGATAGATAGTGAGGATATTAAGAGCTAATGGCGCACCTCTGTGGTATTTTATTGAAGGATTCAACTTTATACGAACACAAATATCCTTGAACTTATTTTTATAATATCCCCTCCATGTTAAAACATTGGCCTAATTCATTGATGATCCGCTTAAAATTGACACAATATTTCACTTAGACATATTCATTTTAGACACTTCAAATAAAATTTCACATTGTCATTTTGACACTTCTTGATCACACTCATTGGTAGGCGCGTGAAGTGGTTGTTTAGTTAATTTTTAATTATTTTTTTCTTCTCCTCCATTTTCAGCCACCATTTTGCTCAAGTTAAATCCATCCATTGTAAATGAAGGTTTCAACAAAAATGATAGATTTTTTTTTAAAGAATTTAATAAACTCATTCATTAAATTCTTTGCGCCGGGGGTTTATTTGGAGATCAAAAAAAAAAAATCAACTAGTTGCACAACGTTCTGCAAAAAAGAGTCGGATATTTGGAGGAGAAAGCGCGGGGGTGGTTGCAGAAGGCGATCGGGTTTGGGGTGGGGGGGGGGGGGGGTTTGGAGAAGACGATGGGGTGGGGATTTGGAGGAGGCGATTTGGGGTTTGGGGAAGTTTAAATTTTATTTTATTTTGTTATTATTTGGGCAGTTTATTTTATTTTTTAATTATTTTGGGAAAAAATATTCATGTCATTAACACTCTGTTTGGATCATCGTTACCTATTATATTGTATTGTATCGTTACTATACCTACAATGCTTGTTTTGATTGCTACTTAAAATGTATTGTATTGTATTGTTAAATTTCGTTGTTACGTATCAATGAAAACCCCTATTTTATGGAACAACCGATTTGGTATGTTCCCATTGTTACTTAATTTATTTTTTCAATTATATCATGGCATAATATTCATAATACTTTTTACCCTTTACCATATAATATTTAATTGTAGTCAAACCTCCTACCCTAGAATAATTAAGCATATTTTAGTAAATTTATAAATTACAATACATCAAACCAAACAATAAAAATGTTATTAAACAACAACAAACAATACAGTCTAGCCAAACATTATATCTATCATACAGTACAGTACAATAGAGTACAATACAATACATTATGAAACAATGGATAACAATGATCCAAACAGTGTAATTTATTGGTCAGTTTTTATTTGTATTCAACATTAATTATTTAAAAATTACTTTGACATAAATGACAAATGTCGTGATTTAATTCGTCACTTTACACATCATCCGTGATGGTAATACACACACATTATATGTTTTTGTTGATATTAAAAAAGGTGTCAAAATGACATAGCGGGATCTTACATAAGATGTCTAAAATGAACATCGTCCAGTTAAGGTATCTAAGTGAAACATTGTGCCAACTTCAAGGGGCCATCAATGGGTTAGGCCTAAAACATTTGTCACGTTTCATTTTCAATTTGATTAATTTTAAAATTAAAATTTAGATATTCAAAAACTTTATTAAAAGTACTACAAATTACAATTTTCTCCTATCAATATGATGAAAAATATATATCTTAAAATATTAGTCAAATTTTGTATAGTTTGATTCTCGAAAGGGAAAAAGGATAAATATATCTCCCGAACTATCGTAAATGATATGCAGATACTCTCTGTATATTTTTGGGACACTGATGCCCCTGCCGTTCAATAACTAGAGTATTTTGAAACGGAAGAAGTATATACTTACACTGACTTATAATTGATTCTTAAATAATTTGGAACATAACATGTTAGAATAGATTGATATTATTTTTAAGGAAATTGTACACAAATTTCATAGTGTTAAGACCTAATTACATCATATTCCTTCTATTTTCTAAATTACAAAAATCCCTTAAATTTGGTGGAATTCAAATACATTACTCAACGTCCCAATACAACGCATACGTCCTGATACTAGGGGTGTGCAAAAAACAATTTAACCAATAAACCGAATAGAAAAAAACACTATTGATATTGGGTTATTGGGCAAACGGTTTTGCAAAAAAAATTATTGGGTTATTGGTTCAGTTTCCGGTTTTATGATTTTTGTTAATGGTTAAACTGATAACCCAATAAGACTATACTAAATTTACTGGTCTTATTGTTAATGGTTAAACGATTGTTACTTTCACATTTTTTGTTAATGGTTAAACGATTGTTACTTTCATACTTTTTTCCTTTGATGTGTCTAGTGTCTAAACTTGCAAGAAAAATGATTGTTACTTTTATGATTATTACTTTCATGCCAAATGTTGAAAAAATCATATGGTTTATATGGAAATTTTTTTTATCATGTATATAATATATATGAGTATTTTTTTATTGGTTAAACCGAAAATCGAACCATTAAGTATCATAAATCGATTAACCAAAAACCGATAATAAATATGTTATTGGTTTGGTTATCGGTTTGACGTATTTACAAACCGAAAATCGATAAATCGAACCAATAACACATAAAACCGAACCGAACCGACCGATGTGCGTATATAGTGATGTATCTGATCAATATATCGTGTTGATGTATTACGTCATGATACATTGCATATAGTGATGTATCTGATCGATACATCGTGTACAGTGATGTATCTGATCGATACATCGTGTATAGTGATGTATTCAAGAATAGGAGAGAATAGAAATTTTAGTAAAAAATTTTAATTGATAGGAAATTTGATAGAATATAGTAAAATAAGTTATGTATTTAGATATGATTTCTTTGAACATGGAATATTTTTCAATAAGAATTCAAATCAAATTTTGAAAAAAAAAAAAAAGGAGTAGTAAAAAAGAAGCAGATACTTACGATAGATGTAGGGCCAAATTAGAGAAATACTCCCTCCGTCCCTTTTTAGTTGTCCACTTTAGAAATGACACACAGATTAAGGTAACAATGATTAGCACAGTGAAGTTACAATTTTATCCTTATGACAACTTTTCAATTCAAAATTACAACCACTTATTTGAATTAAAGTGAAATAAATTGGAGGGAAACAACATACACTTTTACAATTTTCAAGAAGTGTAAATAAGGGTATAATAGAAAAAAATTTGTTGTCCTTTCTTGATTTGTCAAAATGGACAACTAAATAGGGACAACCAAAAAAGGAAATATGGACAAGTAAATAGGGACGGAGGGAGTACAAGTCCTAGTATGTCAGTCTGAAAGCTCTAGAAGAAAACAATAAGTAAGAAGTAATTTGACTAAATTAATTTAAGATATAAGTATTTTTTTTTGCATTACATTGATATTCAATAATTAATTACTATGTCTTAATTTCTTTTAATAACAAATAGAGATTTTTAGCAAATATTTAGGAACAGAAAGAATATTTATCCGAAGAAAACAGAAAAGAGGAGTGTTAAATTTAAGTGAGGTATTCGTTATGAAATGACTCTTGGGATATTGTAAAGCATATTATTAGAGCTGGTCTTGACCTTCGATTAATTTTGTAATGGGCCGGTGATTTATTATTTATGCTTTCACCGTAACTCAACATATTGGCAACAATAAGTCGTTATAAAATAATACAAAATGGTCTATTTTCACTGTAAGTTGCTTCATCAATTTGGCCTATAGTGTGTTTAGTAGTTTTTATTTTTTTATTTTTGGGTGTTCCTATGTGTCCCCATGGATTCTAGAACCTTTTGTCCTTGAGCTGATTTGACATATTTTCTGGAAACATTGAATATTCTTTTTTTTCTCCTCTTAATATGTGGTTTCTGAGTCATTTGATTAATATATAGTATTATATAAATGTCACTGAAGAATAGTCTTGGGCCGGTGAATCAGCGGACAGTAGACGATTATATAACTGTCCATCATGCTTTTGGAATATATTACTAAAATAAAATGATGATGTTATAATCAATAAGCTAATTTCTAAGCCTGTGGGCGTTTCGAGCATATATATTCATTTATATATGGATCACTGATGCAAATATTGGTGTCCCACTCACACAAATATCCAAAACAAATTTTTAATCCTCCTTGTTAAATATGACTCTATATTACTGAATGAATATACAAGTGGGGTCAATTTAAGGAAACACAAGTTTAGCATAGAAGAAAACGATCCCTCATTAGTAATTCAAGAAACACCAAACTCTTTGTTGTGTGACTCTTGGGACTTCGTAAAGCACATTATTACTATACCTTGGTTATTAACTTATCATTATTTTATGTTTTAATCTACAATATTGTTTACTAGTTTGTCGAACAAAAAGATATAATCGTAACATAAAGTTAATATTATGAAAATGTTTAGTTTGTGGTATAAGAAGATATCATCATCACATAATTCAATATAGTACTTTATTAAGTAATTTATTACATTGCTAATACTTGCATACATTATCTGAGATGTATGTACAATTTTGTATGAAATTGTATTTGGAATATAAAAATAAATTAAATTAAAAAAGCTTGTAAAGTAATCAATAAACAAGTGTTTGAACACCACATCAAAAATGATCTTTAGCTGCAATTAATTAAAGGTAATAGTTAAATTGCTGCTAAATATGTTTTTTATAGCAATTAACACTCTTTGTAATTATCTCTAAAGCTTATAGTGCAACATCGAAATGTCAATTAACTAATGTCGTTAAAGACATTAGCAATCTTTACTAATGTACATATTTTTTACCGTTAAAAGCTATTTTTATTATAGTTGGACATGAATGTAGTAATATTTGAAAGGCAAGAAAAAGGTATTCCAAGTTGAAGTTAATAAATGACATTAGGAAGTTCAAATTGCGTTTGGGGATATACTCCACTTAAAATTAATTTTAATTCTTTGTGAGTGGGATTAAAAATTATTACTCTCCATCCAAGTTGATCGATAGCTTGCAAAAAAGTCCTTTAAATATTACAAAAATGGTCTATTCAATTTCATTGGATGTTTCATCATCAATTAGCTAATAGTTGCAAGCATAGTATGACTTTTAATTCTTCTTTTTTGGTGCTTGCATGTGTTGTCCATATCTAGAACCATTTTTTTCCATGAGCTGATTTTGACAGGTTTCTGGAAACAAATGGTGATCACAAAATAATGCATGCATAAATAATTGATAGTTTCAAATTTTGTGGTATAATTTATGTTGTTTGATTTTTTCAAAGATGTTTTATAATTGATTGATAGAATAGAACTCTTTGCTATGAATTAGCAGACACTAGATAACAATAAGAGTAGTTATCTATGTCCACTATGGTTTGATAGAGATATGGATCACTCTTGATCTTTAAACATCATTTTCTTAAGTGGCGTACCGTTTGGGACATCACTTAGTATTGTATTATATTTTAGAGATAAAAATCTTCTTAAAGTGATGAATTATTGGTTAATCACAATTCACATGAGAGCTGCAATATAAGTCAATAACTGAACCATCATGTGTTGAGAAGCCAAGGATTTAAGCTATATATATATATATAGTGTAAAAGACTTTTTACTATTGGTAAATATTGATTTATAATAGCATATTGATATTATTTTTAAATCAAATTATCAATTAATATTTATTAAAAAATTAAAATATTGTAACTTATAACTTAATTGCGTGAATATTTTTATTAGAATAATACATAAAACTTAAACCCATCATGCATACAAGGTAGACACACAAGATTATCAATGGTAAGTGATATGGTTAAGGATAAATAAGTACTTCTTGCTCCACAATTTTTGTTGGTTCAATTTACCGATTGTCACTGTCAATATTTCACTTTGTTTCTCGAAGAAGAAAATATTTCTTCCGTTTACTATTGACTTGGCACACTTCTTAAGAAATAATAAATATTAGGGGTAATATAAGTATATAACTATTTTATCCTTTGACTTTAATAAATTTAATGATTTGAAAAATGTGTTAGATGATAAATAGTATTTAATAGCAAGGATAAAATAGACATAAAAGGTAAATTATCTCTTGATTTTTTAAACTTGACAAGCATTATTGGATAACTATTTTTAATTTAATGAATAACTATTATTGAACGGAGAAAGTATTACTGTTGAAATGTGTGTGATCAGAAACAAACCTTTTGTGGTCAAATTAAACTATGGTCTTATTAAATTATTCAAACCACGTCATTCCAATCAAGTACTCCATTTCAAATTAATTGAATTATTGAGATATTTTTTATTTTTTAAATTAATTTAATTGTTCAATTTTCAAGATTACTTTTAAAATGTTCTTCCAATTTTATCCTTCATTAGTTAGTCCTAGAATTAGTTATTAATTAATATTTAGTTATTTTAATCATAAATTTGACAATAATTAATAAGGATAAAAATGAAAAATTATGGCTAATTTATGTTTAAGGGTGTGAAACACCCTCAAAAATTCAATTAATTTGAAATGATGGGAGTATTAGGTTTTTGAGGAGAAATTATGCATTTTTAGGATTTGTGTATCCCATGATTACTGGTTAGAGCATTTAATGGATGATTCATTTTGTCCTTGAATTATAGATTAAAAGCTTAATTAATAAAACCATGAACATGAGATTTGAACTGTTGATGAATAAGAGTGTACTATTTTAAACAATTTTACTCAAGCTATATTTTAAACAAATAAAAAACAATTTTAAAAAATGAATAAATAATTGCAGTATGTAGTGTTGATGAATAAGCGTGTATCACAACTAGAGTTAAAAAATAAAATAACGTTAATGTTTATGAATTAATTGACGTGAGCGGCGGTGGAAAATGATATGGAGTATTATTGATGTCTTGTGTTCAGGTCAGCTAAAGAGTGTGGGCCCACTTCCGTTTCAGCGGTTTACAACCATTCCAATTTTAAGATTTTAATTAATACACTATATATTTTTTCTTTGTTACTTTCTTCTTTGATATTTTCGATAACGACCCTCAAAGTCACAAACTTAACCCTGTTTGGCAAATAAAAAATTTAAATACTATCAAACCAAAACATTTTCAAGAAACAGAAAATAATGTTTCAGTGCAGACAGTTTTAATAATTATTAATTTTATTAGAATTATCTTTAGATATATTGTGTTTACCTCTAAATACACTATATTTTTTTTATCTGAATCGCCTCTCTTCTTCTCTCGTTCAATATATATGAGTTTCACAATTTTCTATATCAACATATTCAAAATCAAATTCAATTAAGCGTATTTAATATTAACTTCATCCTATATATTCGATGTCAAAAGATACATTCATTGCCTGTAAATATCATCACCATTGAACAAAAAAGGGGAGAGAGTAAGAGAGCTAGAGAAGGAGAGGAGAGAGAGAAAGAAATAATACTCATATAATTACTATAAAATATACTTAGTAAATATGATTAAAAATATATTTAATTAAATATTATGTACTCCTTTATTTATTTTAATTGTACTCTGATACTTTTAAATTCATCCTAATCCGTTTATTTAACCCTTCAAACGAGACAAAAACATAATATGTGAATACTGACATCAATCTGAGAACTCACTGAATTGATGAATCGGATAAGCAGAAGTGCTGACTCACCAAATGCATTAAACGGATAAGCCTTCCTTCCGTCCATAACTTCTTTGTCCATAATTACACATTGGCCCCTCCATTATTTACTTTTCTTTTTGGTCCCCCACCTCCCAACTTTTCACATTTCAGTTAATCTTTTTGGCCACAGTTAAAACTTCATCCCATTCTTCTATATAACTTTAGCCCCTTCGCCTTCTCTGACTCATTACACTCCACAAAAAAAAAAAACAACTAAACATGCCCATGATATCTACTTCCCCTCGTTCGTTTCTTCAAACTCCGCCACCGCCGGTGAATATATTTTCCTCCGGCGACAATTCTCTTCTATCACCGTCTTCCGTCAGATTCCGTCAGTCCGGTAACTTCACGACCGCCGCAGCGGCGACCTGTGCTTCCGTCGAAACTGAATCTACCACGTCATCGGCTTCAAGGTACTCGACGATGCCTTCTAACCTTGTCCATACTTCTCCGGCGTCTTTCTACGAGATTCTAGGGATTCCGATCGGCTCTACGATCCAGGAGATCAAGGCAGCTTATCGGAGATTAGCTAGAGTTTGCCATCCCGATGTGGCGGCAATTGATCAGAAGGACACGTCAGCGGACGATTTCATGAAGATTCATTCTGCCTATTCTACTCTATCGGATCCGGACAAACGTGCCGATTATGACCGCCGCCTATTCCGGAGGCGCCGGAGTGTCAATTTGTACTCCGGCGGCTGTTCTCCTTCAGCAATGTCGGGATTCACCGGCTATAGTACCCGGAACTGGGAAACAGATCAGTGCTGGTAGCTCTCTCCGTCATTGGATTCAGAATTCAATGCCTGTTGTATATTTTTGTGAGGCATAGTGATTAGTGGGAAAGAGATTTTAAAAACGGAAAAAATAAAACAAAAGAAGAAAATTAGCTAGATTTTCTATGTTTACTGTTATCTAATTAGAGTTTCTACTTTGTATATGCTGATTATTATAACTTAATACTAACATGAATTTCAAATCTCAGAGTTCCACTACTCTACAAATTATCTCTGTTCCAACTTCTGTGCTCATGGGCTGATCTAGGTGGGGTTTACCGTTCATGGGTTTGAACTTTTTCGTAAACCCTAGAAATTAAGTAATAACTTGTTAATCTCTAACAAAATTAATTGACAACTCAACGTTAAAAAAGCAAAAGAAAAATTTAGAACCCTAAAGTTCTAATATGTCTCCGCCTCTGACTATGCATGTGGTCCTTTTTCCCTTTCTCTAATTATATATACTTCCAAAAAATAAACTAAAGAGAGGCCACAAGCCCTCCGATAACAATATTGATTCGATCCGAGCTCTTTAATTTTAAAAAAAATTGCTCAATGGGCATTCTCGTCGATATTATGCCTAAGATCGAAACCTCCATGCTTTTAAATATTTTCATTTTTATAATTTGGATTTTTTTTAATAAAAAACTAATCTTTAAATCCTTCATAAAGCAAATGGCTGGTAATTTCTTCTTTAACCAATAAATGAAAGTAAACACTCTGCAAAAAACTTATATAGTACTCCCTCTGTTCAATTTTTGTGGATTTACATTCATTGGGGATTGATTCAGATATGAGGGTTAAATTAATAATATTTGATGTAAATTCAAGCATAAAAATCTAAATTTTTTGAAAGCAAACTAACATATTCTAAAACTCCATCATCCATTATAGTGTATTTTGGATTTTTTCTTTAAAAAAATCTATAAAAGGTTCATGATTAAAAAAAATGACATTGCAAATAGTAGTAACTAATCAAGCGATTATAATTAATCAAAAAAAAATCATAGTGTTATGAATTTAATTTTTTTTTAGTAGGATGTGTCCAATTGATTTTATGTAAATCCTTGTAAACTATGGCATAACGCAAAACTGCAGGCTGCCACTAGGTTTTGTCTCTTATAATGTAGTGGAGTTTTATAAAATTGGAATAATAAAGTCATATATGTATTTTAATAATATCAATATGTTCGGATAGACGGATTGCACTAAAAGCTGTCCCTACTGGAGGATGCACTCTTTGTTTCTTGTAAGTAACTTATACTCCGTCGTCTCATATTAAATGATTCATTTTATATTTTCACCATAGTTAATTTTATTAATTTATTCTTCATTTATATTGATAAAAATATCAGCATAATTTCTTAACAACATAACGCTTATGAATAGAATCATCAAAATAGATACAAAGTATTTAATTACTCTGGTTCACTTATTGTTAAAATAGATTTTTATTTTTATTTATCACTTTTAACATATCAAGAAAAGATAATTATATTTTTTCATAATTTACTCACAGCATTAAATACTAATTTCCAAATCATTTTTCAAGACTTAATAATAAACATCATTTAATAAGGATAGTTTGGTATAATACCAATATCAATAATTGTATTTTTAATAGATATATCGAGTCAAACAATGACAAATAAAAGTGAACGAGGGGGTATTTTTAAAATTTTACTTTATATAGAAGTAAAATGATTTGTTTTTATTAATTTTATTTGATTTAGTAAGTGGATAAATTATTTGGGACATGTGTTTTTAATAAGGTGGTCAACTTATATAAAACTAGTAACTAAACTAATGGACTATCATAAAAATGTGGTGTATTGAATACCCCTCCATCCCATATTAGATGGACACTTTGTATTTTACACGATAATTAAGAAATCATTAATAGATTGATCAACTTTACTATTTTGCCCTTTGTTCATATTTGTTAGCCTCTTGAAAAAAAAAATTCTTAGATCTTCAAAATTTGTTTAAAGTTTCAACTTCCTAATACTATTAATTGTAGGGGTAAAATGGAAAGTCTATCTTGATTTAGCAAGTGATTAAGTAATATGAGACAAATATTTTCAATAAAATGCTCATCTGGAGATAATAATATTGTTTCTTTCTTAATTAGAATATTTGATTTTGAATCATGAGAAAAAAAAAAACTAAACGGACTTTATTCGACAATTTAGATTTGCTAAACTCCAAGATTTTGAAAAGAAAACAAAAAAATAAAAAAAAACTAAAAATAGGGGCAAGTGTCTGACTTTAAACTAACACTTTAGATGGACCTAGCAACTGGTGACATAATTTTGGTTTTATCAGCTCCAATTTATTTACGTGACATATTTTGATTTAATCGGTTGATAAATAGTTTTTTTAATCGATTATTATATTTAAAAAATATTCTGATTTTAAAATTTCTAATTTTGTTAATTAACTAGAAGAGAATGATTTCTATTATTAAAAAAAAAAATCTTTTAAATTTTTTGTATCAATCAAACAACACATCAATTGGGTACGATAATATTTGGTAGGGTAGCTATATGTTTGCCTCTTTAATTTGCATGATCTTATTAATGTTTGGCAGATGTGAAAAGACAAAGTTAGGTACTTCCCTTGTGAATTGCGATTAATTAGATTTGCTTTGTGTGTGACTTGTTTATTTTAAGTAGAGGCAATGAACAATAAAATTTTTAAGATTTTATATCTTAATTCACTATTGAAATTAAACTGTTTAATTCTTGAAATTCTATAAATTAGGACAGAGTCACAAAGACAATAAAATTATTCCTGATTACAGACAGCTGCTAAGTAATGTTCAATCATTTGCATCAAATAATTGCTACGTTACTGGTTATATATAAAGTTTATAATACATTATCCTAATCGGTTCATGAAACTTAAAAAATATCACCTCTTAAACCAAACAGAGAATTATAAGGGACATAACAGACATGCTAGAGAATCTATAGCTGTGACTGGTTCATCATTTAATATAAGAAAAAATTGTAGGTAGATATGTGGCAGTTCCAGGTTCAACCTCCATTTTAAATTATTCATGTGATTTTGATTTATCATGAATTTTAAAAAATATAAAAAAGACTTTTGAATTTTATGATCCTAAAAAATGGTGAAAAGATTAAAAAAAATATAACGAATATTTAAAAGAATAAAGTAGTATAATACTAATAACGCAAGGCCTCAGGTTAATCCCTTTTAATTTATTTTGCTTTTATATTAGGGAAAATTGTATATAACAGCAAACTATTAATTCAAATTAAATGCTATAAACATAGTTTGATTTAATTGTACCCCATAACAAACTGTTGCTATTTCGCCTCTCTCCTGGTAAATCTCGCTCGCCTTTCTCGTTCTCTCCCTCGCCTCTCTCGCTTTTTATACAAACACAAATTTATAAAATGCGTTTGTGTTTGTATAAAGCGAGAGAAAATTGTATATATACATATATTTTCGTTCCCCTCTCTCCCCTCTCCCAGATCTCGCTTGCCACTCTCCCAGATCTCCCTCGCCAGTCTCTCCCTCGCCTCTCTCGCTTATACAAACAGAAATGTATAAATTGCGTTTCTGTTTGTATAAAGCGAGATAAATTTGTATATACACATGCAAATACATATATATTCGTCCTATACACTTATAATTATACAATCCAAATATTTCTCTGCCCAATTCTCTTTTGCATTTCTCTCTTTCTCGTTTTATACAAACAAATATTATATAATTGATCTTTTGTATATGTATACCGAAACAGAAACAGATTATATACAACTACTTTCTTTTGTATATGTATAGCGAAATATACACATTTATGTTTGCTATGGAGCGCAATATGCAAACTATAGCTATAACATACAAATATGATTTTTGTGTTTGCTATACGTGAAAGTTGCTCATATTATCCATTATACAACTACTTACAGACTATAATTAGTTTTTGAGATAATTTAAGAGACTTCCTTCATATTTTTAACTCTATTATAATGATTTTTCTCGTAATTTACGATATTTATTACTTATAAATATGTCAATATATTACTAATAAATATGACCGAAAGTTGTTTCTTGGGTAAATACTTATCTGCCTATGATTTACACTATTATTTATATACTCATTACTTATAAATATGACCAAAAGTTGTTGTTGCTAGATGTAAACTGGTAATTACTAAATTTGGTTATTAGTCCACTATAACAAATAAAGAATTTTTTAATTATTTAACGATAATAATATAGTTATTTTATATTTAATAATAATAATAAATATAATATTTATAAAGAACATTCTTTATATATCGCTAAAAGCTTTAAGAACTTTAAATATAATGACATTAATTCAATTATCACTAAATATGTTTTAGATTATATATATATAAAAAAAATAAAAAAAAAAAAAAAAAAACTATTGTCACACTATACCTGCAAATTGATTACTGGAGTACATTATTATTCAACCGATAAAAGGTAACATGGGCTGTCTTGTTTCTCTACCGGCCAATTAATAATAATTTGAGTGTTTGACCTTTTTATTACTTGCATCAGAAATATTCAGCGGGGCAAACATCTTATAGTCAAATTGTCGATAAAAGAAACAAAAAATTGACAAAATTCTTAAAGAAAAAATATACTGAAATATCTTTTCGAATCCTTTTAATCTTGCGTAATAATAATAATATGATAAAATCTTAATTGCACCAGATTATCGATATTAATATTCCAAAAGAAGAATTCGATGTGTTCGCATATGCGTAGACTTACATTATTTAACAATGAATTAGTATGTATTCTCAAAATATTAAATTATTTAATCATAATTTGTTAATTTGATTTAGTTTTTTCCTAGTGCAAATAAATATCTATCAAAATAGCAGTGCGTTAAGTCATGATGCCAATTGCCAGGCCCCCTATTAAATATCAAAATAAATATTTAGTTAGTTAGAAAGATGCAGCCCCTCGACACAAAAAGATCTCCATAATTAAAGGAATTAATTAGCTGGAGCCATTATAATTCTTTTATTCTCTTTTTCTAGTTCCATGCAACTTGCAAGATAGCACTGCAAATTTTCTAGAAGCTTTAACTTTTTTTAAAAAAATAAACAAAAGAAGAAAATGATCGTTTTTTCCTAGTTTACTTTGTATTTATCATATATATATATATATAATACAATCATCTTCCTTTTTTTCTAGTTTGC